AAAGGTGACTTGACTTGACTTTAACAACTTCAAGCAAGATTTTGTTTGTCCATACAGTACGTAGTTTACTTTGACTTAAATTGTAAAGAGGAATAATTTTGGCTTAAAGGAATAGTTTCCCCCTCACATGACTTCACTGTAACCACCGTTTCAGACCGATGAGCTTTGTAAAAATCGACGCGTTTCAGAAAGGTGGGGCATAGAGGAGAAACAATAATGTACAGTATGTGGAAAATAAATTGTTTTTTGAACCTTAAACCGCATAAACACATTTCATTACACCAAATACACAAAATAATTTTCTTTTTACCAACATCATATGACCCCTTTAAGGTGTTCTTGTTACACGTTACATGTACTTACTATTATAATAACAATTTATTATAGATAATTACATGCAATTAACCCTAAACCAAACCCTAATCCTAACCCTAACAATATAGTTAGTGCATGTAGTTAATTAATATTACTCAGTACTTAAATGTATAATTACACTGTAACAAGGACACCTTAAAATAAAGTGTACCCTATCCTACTAACCTACTGGCAGTGGCTGGTCAAAATATACTTACTTAATAACTTAATAACTTACTTTCTTACTTACTTTATTTATTCATTTATTCAGATTACTGGAGTAAGTTTACAAGAAAATACCTTTCTAGCTTCAAATTTCACATTTAATTAAATGTGTTGAATTTTAATCCAGTTTGTGAAATTTACTAGCAATTTCCAAATGAAAATATGCATGTTCTGCTTTGACTTCCACAAGAGGATTTTTATTTATTTATTTTGCACAAACATAGAAAGTGTACATAGTAAACAGTGAAAAAGAAGGCTGAACTTGCAACTGAAGAAAAAAACAAAACTACATACACTGTTTTTCTACATCAAAGAAAGAAAAATAAGACAAAACTTTACTGTCTTGAGATGCCGTTGTTAAATTTATATTAAAGTCATTTAAACTGATGCATTATGATGACAAATTCCAGTCTCACATTTGGCTGGACAACAAGTTTGACCCTATCCTGGACAAGGTAAAGCATATATATATATATATATATATATAATATGATGATTGTTTGCTCAGATGACAGCAAACAAAGGATGATAAACTATAATTTTTATTATTAATTATTATTATTATTATTATTATTATTATTATTATTGTGACCGAAACAAACAACTAATATATAAATAAAATTTAATTAAATAAAAAATCTTCAAATCATGAATGCAAGTACAAAGAATGCAAGAAAATATGATTTACTATATTTCCAATTATGTGATTTCAGCAAATTATACTGAATCAGTCGAATGAATATTACTTGAAAATTCAATATTTTTACCCAGCCCTATTCAGAGGCTTGCAGTGCCACATTTATTTAGAGCATCCATTGAGGATTCCTCTTGGGTGATGTCATAAACAAACTCTTAGCTGCATCTGGACCTCTTAGCTGAATCTGGACCTTTTATATTTACCGTCTCTGAATCTGCAAAACTTTTTTATACCATCCATGTTTTGGGAAGGTTTAAATCAGAACACACAAAACTGCTAAATAATATTCAGACAGAAAGCTGAGATGATTGGAAAGTGATAAATATTTGCTGAACCCATCAGTATTTATCAGAAGTAATCATTTTGGAGTAATGTGAAGGGTTTGAGCGTGTAAACTCCTTCTGGCAGAATATGCAGCTTTGCCCCTTGAGGGAAATTCATGCAGCCGTTCAAAGCTATAACTGGATTTATCTTAATAATGCTTTTTATGTTGCATTTCCCAATAAACATCTAGGGAATTGCAGTATCACAGCTCCATATGAAGAAATTAGCTGAGGGATTGTGTAATATGTAGTAGGAGTTTCATTAACAATTATATACTGAGACAGGCTGGTTCGCTTTTGAGGTGCCATGGCATTGTACATGGCAATTTTTGACTTGCATTTCTCACAATCTGTTTTCAGATGATGTTGGCTCATGTAACACCATGAAATATCAGCCAGTTTTGCAAACAGCAGTAACAAGAAAGATTGTAAAAAAAATAAATAAATAAATAAATAAATAAATAAATAAACATGTGGAAACTATTGAAAAAAATAATAATAATGATAAACTACTGATATAACTGGATTCCTCATCTGATGTGAGTTTAAAATGAAAAACACATTTTGGCTTAAAATTAAGGCTTAATTTTGGCTTAATTCTATATAAATATGATGTTGTGTGTGATGACAGTAGCAACCAAGGCTCAAAATAAGAGCTACTCAACAGTAGCATGTCTCTTTTAACAAATTGTTCAGGCTGGTACTGGGAAAAGACTCTTTTGGCAGCCTGAAATAGGGATTGGCAAGGCACTGTAACAAAGAAACCTTGTAATGGATGCCTGGATTTTCTGGGTAAAATAGCCAGCTTGAGCACTGACAGATATAGAAGAATGGCACCAGCACTTTAGAAACCAACCTTTTAGTTTGACAAAACAGTCATTTGAAAAAAACACATAAATCATTTTCAGATTTCTTTTAATTCTTATAAATACTGTATGGTATTAAAACATGACTCAATCACAAGTAAATGTTGAATGTTTCTTGGATTCAAAAGGGAAGTTCTTGGTGACCAGCGCTGACTTGGCTTCTTTAGACAGGACCTGGCAGTAGGCGCTAATGGTTTGCAGAGGCTGAGTGCTTGAATGGAGGAGCAGCTGTCATCTCCATGGTGATGTTGTCCAAGTCTGGGCAAGGATGTGTCCTATGGTCCGACGCTGGCGCATTGGGATCAATTACGCAGACCCTAGCACCCACAGCGGCAATGCCTTGGCATGTGTCATCAACGACCTCCACGTGTTTTTAGCACCCTCAGTCTATTCACTTTCTTTTTCACTTCATCAGACATCTTCAAATACACTTCAGTGTCGTTGGTTAATGGAATATTCACCTCAAAAAATTAAGTTGTTGAAAAGCTGTTATGTACTTTCCCTTATGTTGTTCCTTACCAAATGCTGTTTTTTTTTTTTCATGGAACAAAAAAGCAGAAATTATAATACATATTAACATATCTCTGACATCAAAAGTTCATAGTAACCATGTCTGTGTAGCTCCAAAAGGGAAAAAAGAAACATAAAAGAATCATGCAAGTAATCAGTTGTGCTGCCTGTGTCAAAAGTTGGACATGAAATACACTGAATGTCATTTGTTGTTGCATGTCCTACTGTATATGTCAGCATACCGGATTTGAAAGGCATGAGCGTGAGTAAATGACAGAATTTCATTTTTGGTTTTAATTATTCTTTTAACTCTCTGGAGGCAGAACTTGAAACCAAGGGACGCCCCTACATTTTCAAAGCTCTGTTTACCCGAGGCTTTCTCTGTTTGCATGTGAAAGATTGCTGATTACTGCAATCAGTAGTTCTCGCTCGTCTTGAACTCCACTGATACTACATATTCAAGGACCCTTTTCGATGGCTAAATACCACCCAATCAACCTAATAGCTAATAGAATAGTTGATTAAGAGCCCTTTTGTTCTGATGTTATAATCAGAGAATTAAGAAGTAGTGTGGTAACCTTACAAAAGAGGAAACATAATGAGTTCAATTAACAGAATCCATAAGACCTTCTGCATGTTTGAGAATCAGACTTTATGTTGGAAATAAATACAAAATTAGAAACATTCCATTTAATTTCATTTCAAAATATTGTATGTACACCTGACATCTCTGAGACCAGGGGGGTATTCCAAAAAGCAGGTTATGTGACATACCCGGGTATGTTTGAGGATAAGCAAGCGGATAACCTCAGCTTTCGGTTCTAAAATCGGAGGTTACTTTCAGGGTATGTAAGTAACCATAGTAACTTGCTCTCTGAAGATAACCTGCTCCGGAGGTTCCAGGGTTAGTTCACTTCAGCGCACGTGTGATCTACTGA